TGACGACTTTCATTTCATATGAAAGTGTATGATGAAACCCGCGTTTTCTTAGTATAGACAAGCTGTGCATAAGTTGTGTGAATTTGCCACATAGCCAACAGCATTTAAATATCGCATTTGCGGGACATCTCCAAGTTGGCTACATAACTCAAGCAGGCGCGTTTGTGTGCCCCGCTCCAGCTCATTCCTTCCCTTCTAGAACCCTGCTTGTCCACTTTCATTATGAGCACACACAAACATTTGTCTGTACAACTTTAAGACTACATTGTTTGAACTCTTCTTTGCATTAGGTCTCTGAACAGGTGCCCAATTGTAGGTGTACTTTGGCAGCCTCATCAAACGAGATGTAACGTTAAACATAATAATTTTGAGGGAGGTAGGCACTTTTGGTTTAGCGGTTGATAAGGTTTTCCGAAACGATGGATTTCTGCTCTACAAGGGTCTGTCACGTCGGGACAGAACGCGGCTCATTTTGAAGGAATTGAAGTGTAATGGAAGCTTGCCGAGGACATGCATTGTCAGATGACCATTCGGAATAGCAAGGTAATCCTTCGAGTTTCGATGCAGTTAATTTATGAAGACAATAAACAATGAGGTCTCGATAAATATTTTGGGGCTATATTGTTGGGAAGAGTTTTATTTCTCATGAAAATGCATGATGTGTAGCTTCGTAGATGGATCTCACCCGAAGACGATTGCCGATTCGTTTTGTTCTGAAGCCGTTTGGAGCTAATAAGATTTTCAGATTTACTGAGTCCATGAGACATGCTCAAAAATTCTGGATGAAAACGGGTTCGGCCTTCTTTCCTCATTAGGATGACCGTATAAAAGGTGGAAATCATTCTTGTAAAGCTCTAAAGTTGACGCTAAGTAGTTTCGAAACTCTGCTTATATACGAAAATTAAGTCAGACAGACTGGCCAGCTCTTTTCTAAATACTGTATATACTCAACGAAAAATATGATGATATGGCAGGATATAGAATGGTTTATTGCACTCAAGTGTGTGTTTGTTTGTGCCAACCCAAAATGAAGCATGACCGAGATTGTTTTGGTCCGTAATTAAAATGGATGACTTAATGAGACTTTGAATAAATAGGAAATATAAGGTCAAATCAGATGTATGAGTAATTTTTATTCAATATTTCAGCACCATTCTTGACATTCTACAGATTTCGTAATATATTAATTTCAGGGGCCTCTATTATCTCATGTTTCGCGTTAACCACTACGTCACACTGGCACTGATGGCATTGATAATCGAAGTCAAATGACTAGTATATGTATTTGTTTTGCGACTTTTCACCACCACTCTTCATATTCAACGCATTTCCTAATCAATTTATATAAATACTTTGCTGGTCCACTAATTTAACATATTCAAAATAGGATTTAATATAAACTAGCCTAAATTCGGCCACTTATATTAAGTACCGTATTTCCCCGTGTATAAGCACCCCCTTTGTATCATCACTTACAATTATTTACAAAAAGTACAACATACTGCTGAAAAACCAGTTGATTCCTACTTTATTATTTTAT